GTGTGCATATCTGTGTGTGTGTGTGCATGTGGGTGTGTATTGTGTGTCTACGTACCTGTGTGTGGGTGTGGGTGTGGGTGTGTATTGTGTGTGTATCTGTGTGTGCACGTGCACCTGTGTATCTGCATATATGTACGTGTACCCATGTAAGCATGTGTATGTGTACAGATGTGTGTGCGTGTGTGCATCTGTGTGCACAGATGGTGAGTAAAAACCTCTGGGCCACCAGACAAGAGGAGAGATCAATCGTGCATTGTTCTAAAAGGAACTTGACAGCAAGGGAGTTGTCTGTGTGTGTGTGTGTGTGCAGGTGCCTCTGTGCGTGCATGTGTGTGTACACGTGACTCTCTCCTGCATCCAGTCTTCAGGCGGGGTCCTTGTTCGTGCTACGTGCCGTGTCGAAGCTGTACTTCCTTCCCACAGGCAGGCCACCTGAAGTAGCCGTTGCAGAAAGCGGTGTCCTAGGACTTTCGTCACATCTGTGCGTCTCTCTTGCAGAAACCCTACGCCAGTCACGTTCACCTTCACTCTTTTATGGTGTTCTAACAGGTCTGAGGTTAGAAATGTCCTTCCTTGCGGACTAAAGTAGACACGACGGGAAGCAGCATCATTGCTCGCACGTTCCAGCCGGGATCAGAAGCACAAGACTCTTTGGAATGTGGCGTGAAGAACGGTCTTCCCTGTGCTCCACCCACACGCGTGTTCCCGCAGCGCTGGTTCACCAGCAGAGCCGGGAGCGTCAGCGCAGCACCGGCCGGACCCGGGAGCGTGGCACTCAGACTCCGTAAAGGGGACGTGGTGACAGTTGCGCCGTGGTCTCGTTCGATGCCCTGATGCTCGCGGTTATCAGTTACCCGGCAGATGGTTGTGACCGGTCGTCTCCTGTACAAATGTTGCACAGACTCCGAATACTTCGATACATTCTTGCAACAGCTTGCAGCGCATGTAGGTTTTTTCCGGTATGGCTTGGCAGCCCCAAGCATGTACTCGAGGTTTTCCTATTATAATTTGTTTCTGTCTTTCTGCATTTGAAACGGTAACACTTATGTAAAAGGGAAACTCTGTTCCTCCCCCCTCCCTCTCCAGAGCGCTGCGGTCACGGAGTGGTGCCGGAGGACGTAGGGCACCCCTGCCCTCGCCGACCGGCAGTGGCTCGGTGGACGGGGCGCCTTGCTCGCCCTTCTGGCCTTGCGTCACCGCACACCCACCGACGTTAAGGAAGCACAGAACGTTCTATTTATGCGAAGAGCGTGGTGGTGCTGAGTCCTCCATTTTCCTCGGAGTCTGGCCTTTGAAATTATGGGTGGATAAAATAGTACAACCTTTGAAATCCCGCGTCTGCCTTCACTGGATGCCAGCAAAAATAAAAGTGTCTCATAGGGCCATCATTTCGGAGGCCACCGCCCAGGGAGAGTGTGCCTCCTTTGTCTGGTGGCCTTTGCTCATCCGGCTCCCCTGCCCTGAGGCCAACCTCACCCGGGGCCGGGCCTGTGCCGGGCATGGGCACACAGCCGTGAGGGCGTCTGGACCTCAGAGAGCACACGGCACCAGGCTGAAAGTCAAAACCACTCGGTAGCCATTCCAGACCGAGTCACCGGCCAGAAAAACATCCAGCCTCGCCCCGCATCTTGCTGGGCTGAACACGTGGATTTCTGTAAAGGGGGGGGGCGTTCGATTTATCCCGAGCGTGTACACGTTAACAAGGTAGGGGTTTAACGTGACCTTACGGCCGCGGCGGAGAGTATCAGCGATGCGGGATCACCTGTAGCGCTCTGTGGCGCGTGGAACCCAGAAGCGCTTGCTGAGGAAGTGGGTCTCTTGTGAAGTGTTCCGACCACAATGAAGGAAGTAACACGCTGAAGAGAGCACAAGGGAGGCGTGACTAATTTTGAGCGAAATCCCTGGCATTTTGCATATTTCAGGAGCATTGATCTGGTGGGTGCCGTCCAGACCCTGCTCAGTCGTGAAGACCGTCATTCAGAAGATCTAGGAAAGGGACACCAGGCCGGCGGTGGGAGACGGACGGCACGTTCGTTCAGTAGGTGGTCACGGACTTAACTTCGGGGGACATCTGATGCCGACTCGGCCGTTCCGGGCCTCAGAGTCCTCTTTCCTGTGACCACACAGCCTGCCATGTGCCAGACGAAAACTCGGAATTTAGTCTCCGTCAGACGTGAGCGCTGCCTGTCCGAGGACGTCCGATCAGCGCTAAGCGCAGAGTCTTTGAAGGAAGTGCGTCCAGGCCAGGAACGAGGCCCACACGTTGTTTGGAAAATGTATGCTCTCTTGGCACGTTCCACGATAGTTCAAGTATTAGAAATGATTTGCGATTCCGTCGGGACCCTGGTGGAGACCGTGCAAGCTGGAACTCCTGTCGCTTTTCCTTTTAGACGGTCAAACCACAGGTTGTGCTAAAAACACGAGGACACAAGTCCAGCAAAGCGGTGATTTGTCCTCAGCTAAAACACAGGCTGCATTAAAACCACATGTTGCCGAGTGCCGGCTGGCCAGGCCAAAGCGGAGATCAACACACGAGCACCGGCCTGGGGGGAAGAGCGTCTTCTGCAGCGCGCATGCCCGTGACACACGGCGCGGCCGGCGGCTCGGGGTCCGCAGAAGCCGGGGACGGGGATGTTCAGCAGCAGAGTCTGTATTCAGCAGGCCGATGCCGCTGGGGCCGTGGCTGCGGCCCCGAGCCCCGCAGCGGGTGCCCAGAGGGCACGCAGTCAGGGCCAGCAGGATTTGCTACCAGACCATGAGAAGTCGCCATCTAAAGCTGTTGGCCAGGGCACACGTTTGAAGAAGCGGCTCTCGGAGTCCAGAGGCCCCTTCAGATCGAGACAGCCTGTTATTTAAACCTGGAAACACTTGGGGCGCCTGGGTGGCTCAGTCGGTTAAGCGTCCGACTTCGGCTCAGGTCATGATCTCACGGTCCGTGAGTTCGAGCCCCGCGTCGGGCTCTGTGCTGACGGCTCAGGGCCTGGAGCCTGTTTCAGATTCTGTGTCTCCCTTTCTCTCTGCCCCTCCCCTGTTCATGCTCTGTCTCTCTCTGTCTCAAAAATAAATAAACATTAAAAAAAATTAAAAAAAAATAAATCTGGAAACACTTTAGAAACACGGGGAAAGCCTGTCTTTTCAAGCTCTAAAACTCACATGAGCTAAGTCGCACGGCGACCCAAAGAAGGGAGCGTGAACTTGTGGTGGCGTGTCGGAGGGCGAGAGGCCCGTGGGCGACACACGTGGGTGCTTGGCCACGCACGCCGTGCTGCGGTGTCCAAGGGGCTCGCGTCCCGGAGCCCGTGCCGGGAGGCCTGGGGCCCGCAGCGGGAGGCGCTGCCCGCCGGGCCCCCGTGTCGCACGCAGGCCGGTGCGGGCTGGGGGGTGGCGGAGGGGACGGCGGCCTCGCTCACGAGCCGCCACGTCCCTCGTGCACACCCGCGTGCCCGTGATTGGTTTGAGGGTGTCTGTGTCCGGAAGGAGACGAGACGCACTCGGTGTTTTTAGCTGCTTCCCTTCTCACCGACTTACTGGGTCTCAGGAGACGGCTTCCTGAGGAGCAGTAGGAACTGGGTGCTTTTTATCAGGTTCTGCCGCAGCATCGCTAATGCCACCACCTGAAAGTCTGGGACAGAGAGGAGGGCGGGCTGAGGCTGTTCGGCTTTTCATCTGACGTGCTGTCAGATTTTCCTCCTGGAGCTGGAGGGGGCAGGACCTTGGTATCGCTTTGAGACCCCGGGACAGTGCGACACACGCGAGGGCCCTTGTGCAGGTCCCGCCGAGGCGGTCTTCAGGTGGGGCGGGTGTCCCGGGCCGGCGCGGTGTCCGAGGGCCCCCACGTGCGGCCTGGACCCGCAGAGAGCCCGCCTGCAGCCGGCCACGGCCGGAGCTTCTTCGTTTCCCAGGAGGCAGCACCTGCCTGTTAGCAGGACGGGCAGAGCGGCTGCTCTGAGCCTCGGCTCCCTCGCTCATCGAGTGCAGAGAAAACCTGCCCCCGTCACCTTCCCGCCGGGGGCGCTGCGGCCCCGTGCCCCCACGTGGCCCGGTGGCTCACGCGCTCGCGGGTCCCGGTTGTGTAACTGGTGCGTGTGCTGTGCTCTCCCCGCAGACGTGTCCAGGTGCGTGGCCGAGAGGAAGTACACCCAGGAGCAGGCCCGGAAGGAGCTGCAGCAGGTGTTTATTCCGGAATGCAACGACGACGGCACCTACAGCCAGGTGAGGCCCTTGGCCCCGTCCGGTCCCCGCAGCGTCTGCTCCCAGCTGCGGGGGGGGGGGGGGGGGGGGGGGGTGTCCCGGGGGGCCCCCGTGCACAGCCGGGAAGGGAGTTCCTGGCGGGGCTGACTGTCACCGCTGGCGGTGGTACTGGTGAGCTCACTCACTCACGCCCGTCCCGGCGCAAGTGCCCACGTCGGGGCCGTGCCGCCGGCCGCTGTCCCTGGGCGCTGGCCTGGCCCAGCCCTTCCGGGAGGCGAGCGGGCCCCACAGACCCCGGGCCTTCCGTGGGAAGCAGTCCTAGTTTACCACGCCTGGGGCAGGTGCGGGAAGGCGCAGGCCGCCGGTGACCCTGGCGCAAGGCGGGTTTGTGACTTTCCTCCCACCTTGTTGGTCAGAGTCAGTCAGGAAAATAACCCAGTTCTCTGTCTTACGTGTGGCCGAGTCTTTGCTGTCAACACCACTGTTCCCCGTTAAGGCAAAAATCCCTGAAGCGCGGGGCTAACGAACACAGCCCTTCGCAGAGAAACAAACAATCTGCTGTCCGATAGTGACGCGAACGCTGTGCTTTTATATCACTGGGCCTCCGGGGGCCTGGCAGGGGCTGGAGTGGGGGAGAAGTGGGCAGAGGCACCGACAGCAGGGGATGCCCTCTCTGGCGTGTGTCTGTGTGGATGGAGGAGTGGGGGTGCGGGGGAGAGGAGCTGGGGCTGGGAGGGATGCTGGGGAGACCCGGGGGGCAGGTGGGGTGCTGGGGAGACCCCGGGGCTCGGAGGTGGGCAGGATGCTGGGGAGACCCAGGGGGGCAGGGGGATGCTGTGGATACCCGGGTGGGGGGTAGGGATGCTGGGGAGACCTCGGGGGCAGGATGGACGCCGTCCCTCCCTCCTCATCGCGGTCTGGGCGCAGTGGGGAGACACCGAGCCTGTCTCGGGACTGCTGGGGCCCGTCTCAGAGGCGGCGAGCCAGCGTGCGCGGCAGAAGCTCCTGGGTCGCGTACAAACCCCTGGGTCCCGGGGCCACCCGTCTGCCGCTGTGTCCAGATGCAGCCAGGTAAGAGGCACGTGGCCTCCTAGTGGGGCCGCCTCGAGCACGGCAGCGAGCTGACCCCGTCCTGCCGTCCCGCAGGTGCAGTGTCACAGCTACACGGGATACTGCTGGTGCGTCACGCCCAACGGGAGGCCCGTCAGTGGCACGGCCGTGGCCCACAAGACGCCCCGGTGCCCCGGTAGGTGCCCTCGCGCGCCGCGTCCTGACCCTCCACGCCTGTGTGCTCGCGGTTCGGAAGAAATGCAGTGTAGGTGGTGGTGAGGGCTCGGGGGCGCCGGGCTCGTGTCGCCGACAGAGCCTAAAACAGGATGAAAAGGGTTTCAAGAGGCTTTCCCAGCCGAAGCCCTGGTCTGAAGGTTGGTAGGTTCTTCGACTCAGGGTTCTTAGTCTTTTAGGAACGACCACAAGGGCTGCAGTCAGCAGTGCAAATCCCCACGTGTTTTCTTTGGCAAAAACGAAAAAGGAAAGTTCTGGTTTTATGTGTATACGTTTGCAAAGAGAAAGAGGACCGTTCTTCACAGGTCCGTCCCCAGATGGTTTATTTGTGTTGCTTTATTACTCATAAGAGAGCTAACGCACCGAAGGTAATCTTACCGGCAGGAGAGTAACTTACGGAATGGTCCGTTTTCCACTAATATTTTACCGAAAATGATATAAATGATTCACGTCATTTTTATTTGAGAATGTTTTTCAGCTTGAGTTGTGATTTGAAAAGAATTTTTTTTAATGTTTATTTATGTTCGAGAGAGAGACAGAGTGCAAGCAGGGGAGGGACAGAGAGAGAGGGAGACACAGAATCCGAAGCGGGCTCCAGGCTCCGAGCCGTCAGCACAGAGCCCGACGCGGGGCTCCAACTGTGAGACCATAAGTCTGAGGCTTAACCGACTGAGCCACCCAGTCGCCCCTTGAGTTGTGATTAATTGGCCGAGAGGACCTATCGGCGCATCTGTGAAGGGGCCCCCGTGACCTTTGCATCACGGTCCCTAGATTAGACTGTAGTAGAATGTAGCCACGGTGATAATAAAGGACAGAGCCTAGTCCTGATTTTTCATGTAAAATACTGAAACGTTTGCGTTCAGGATTTACTTCTAGACTCATTTTTTTATTTAAAGGTCAGGCATCTTCTAATTAAGAATTCTGCTCATGATTCTGACGCTTACACCAGCAGCCAAGGCACAGGCCAGAACTCATAACCGCTGCAGCCTGATGACGTCTGTAATTAACAGCGACACGAAACCTAATATTTCCAGTGACTGGTCATCGCTTAAAAGCCACGGGGTGTGCATAACACGAAATTAAAATATATTTATTTCAAATAACTATTTTGTTATCCAAGAGCTAAAAGTTGCTGACAAATATTTTTAGCGAGCTAACATTTGCACCTAATAATTCTTGTGCAGAGTTGTGGAATAAGGGGGGGATGAATGCACACGGTTGGCCTCCGTGTGTGTCCCTCGCTCTGGGACGTACTTTCACAGACTTACTTCCCCTCCGGCGTGTGGCACCGGCTTGCACTGAGCCTTATCGTACAAAGGAGAAAGCCGGGGGATGCCTGTTCTCTGTGATTTTAGTGGTACCGTTTGAAAAATTAAGCTGCGTCTGAAAGATCTTTATCGGGAAGGTCTTTATGTACAGAATCGGCTGAATTTCTTACATTCTCCAAACAGTCCTTTGTTTTTGGAATCAAACCACTGTACTGGGCGCTGACGTATTTTTCCAAGCAGGCATCGGTAATTATAATTTGACTCTATGGACGTGCTCCGTTTTCTGAGTGCCCGTGTGGGTTTTCTGGTCCACGGGATGGATGATGGACAACAGTCTGCTCAGAAGTCCGGTGTGTGTTGTGTGGGAACCGCAGGAAAAGCCCCGTGTTTCAGGGCAGAGTTGGGGTGAGGACGGGGCCGGCTGTCCTCTCAGACCCTCTCTCTGCAGGTGAGCGTCCCTTTCCACTTCCCCGGGGTTGGGGCTGTGACCTCAGGGGGCCTGGCCAGTGGCCAGCGAGGCCAGTGGCCCCACGCCTGCTGCTGCTGCTGGTGCGTTGAGTAACTTCCAGGCAGCTGCGGAAAAGGCCCGTCAGCCCTCCGCCGTAGCCGCACTCTTATTCTGCACAAACGTGAACGTGGAAAGCAGGCGTTGTGCTCAGAAGCTCCGCAGGTCGTGGGGATTGTTGAGAAAGTCAGACCAGGGAGCTTCCGGATGCGGGAGCCGACGCCCGCACGCGCGATGCCCGGTCATGCTCAGACACACACACACACACACGTGGACAGTTTATGATGGACTCTTCCACAGCATGGCTTAACTTCTTCCCAGATGCTGACAGAGCCTCCCAGGTCGTGCAGCACGGCAGGGCGATAGGGCGGCGCTCTGCACGGGGCGATGACACTGACACGCACCACGGAGGGCCGAGCTTTCATCTGCACACAGCCAGGGACTCCCTCTCCGCGTGTATCCCCCTCTCTCCGCTGGTCTCGTAGCTGGTGTGCCTCATGGCTAGGGTCCCTTAGCCACGGCTGTGAACGATGGCCGTGGCTCCCGCCCGGTTTACTAAAACTGGGTTAGCCCCAGTGTTCAACAATCATCTTTGGCCCTGGACTTCACACCAGGCTTATCCTGTAAGTTCATGCTATAAAAATGTAAACACTGGGAGAAGAGATTTAAAACGTAGCCACAAAGAGTGACTGTCACTTAGAACGTGCACGTGTGTGTGTTTGTCGTGAACACGCACAACCACGGAGGCAGGCAGCAGCGGAGGGAGGCAGACATCCGCGTGTTGGCGAGGCTTCGGCGGCACATGAGAGCCCCTGCCCCCGATCCTCCTCCTCCTCCCTTCTCCCAGGAGGACCTTCGAAAGAAACATATTCCATTAACATGTATTTTTAAGCCATTAGTACAGAATACCCAGGCTCCTGTTAATGGATAAGAAAAGATGGGAACGACTCTAGCCAAAAGTGGTCCAGAGCCCTAAGCAGGCAGCACGTTATAAAGGAGAGAAGCTAATGGCCAGCGAACGGGAGACGGGGTTGAGACTCACGCAGCAGGGAAACGCACGTGAACGTTACAGTCGGGTCCCCACACACCACCCCGTTAGCCGCAAAGAAAAAGCGATCCGTGACGTGCCGGCGAGGCCGTGGAACCACAGAACCTCCCACAGCTGCCGGAGCCACCGGTGCAGAACCCACGCGCCCTTCCCGTGCCGGCAGCAGGACGCAGAGCGGCTACGGAGAAAAGCACTCACGTCTGCGGCCGGACAGAGACTGGCACCAGGACGTCCGCGGCAGCATTTGCTGTACCCACCAAATCCGGGCAGTGGCTGGGTGTCCGTGGTTCCTGTCGTGGTTCGCTCGGTTCGTGCCGACATGGGGCTGCAGCGTGGTCCCGAGTGGACGCACCAAAACACAGGGCACACGGGTCCATTTAAAATGCAACACCAGACAAAACTCACCCCTGGCACTTGGAGAAGCCTCTTCGGGTGGGAAGCCGCAGAGGCAGACGAGGAAGGGGTGATCACACCGTCGGGACGGCGACTACAGGTGCAGAGAGGGGTGTTGACTGGAAAGGGGGCTGGACGTGGGGACTCTCTCTCCTGCCCGGAAGCTGTTTCTCTGCGTCTTTGACAACAGTCCGTCGTGCTCTGCTGGTGTGTTTGTGTTCTTTCGGGCACGAGTGCAGGATTTCACGGGTTTAAAAAGGTGTGGAAAGTTAAAGTGCGTTAAATTCCTCGTGAGGTCACACATCTCCCGGAGGATCTTCCCGGGGGGAAAGGGCGGGGGTTTAGATGCCTCAGGAGCCCTGTGAGGACGGCCGCACCGAGGCGGGAAGGGAGGCTGGGACAGGTGTGGATGAGGATTTGGGACCGAATGGCCTCAGCGTCTGCCCTCTGCGATGTTCTGGGACAGCGGGGGGTGGCAGGCCTGGTGGCCGCCGCTCGTGGGGCCCCACCGTGTGTTGGGCATCACAGCAGCCTGGGTGGGAGGTGGGCTTACCTTCTATGTTACAGGTGAGGACTGTGCCCAAGGCCTCCGTGCTTTAAGGGACAGAGCTAGGACTTAAATCTGTCTTTCTGCCTCCATAGCCCACATTTTCGGCCACGTGCAATAATGTAAGTCCATGGGCCTTGAACGCCTTGCTGAGAATGTGTGTAAGTCCCTGTTGGAAATCCACAGCCACGTGGAGGTTCTGTCAAAGGTTCTCGGAGGGCAGGAGGCTACTTGTGGCCCCCCAACCACATTAACACCTCGGTGTTACCTCTGCAGACCTGCCGTCTATAACCAGCTCTGGTCAAGGATGGTCCCTTGGGGTGAGGACGCCGCTCAGATTGTCACAGCTAGTGGGTGGTCTGCTTGGTGTTTCCAGCCACGGCCGCCGGGTGAGCGGCGCTCAGGCTGTGAGAGGCAGAGGCTTCAGGGGATGCGGTGGCCCCGGCCCTTCTGCCCAGTTGACACCCCTTCCCGATGACTGGATTATTGAACCCGGCGAACCCCCGACGCAGTACTAAGATTCCGCTTTAGTAAATCGTAGTGTGCGTGACCCGTAGCCTAGGGCTCACGGGGCACGTCCAGCCGTACCTTTCTCCCGAGGAATCCGTTAGTTGTTATCGCTAATTTATCTGTTGAGGATTTGCCAGGTAAGGTGCGTGTGGCGTTGAGGTCTCTGCAGACACGCGGTCTCGGGCCAGGGCTGCAGGCACACGGCAGGGGTGGACAGGTGAGGGAGAGATCGTTCTGGGAAAGTCTGGCATAAAAAGGGAGCGGAACGGTCTTGTTCCTACCATTTATTCTAGATGGTTCCTGCTTCTTGCTTTCCTCTTCGTGGATCTTGCGCCGGAGGCAGGCCTGGAGGGTGGTGGGAGGTCTCTCCCCTCGTGCGGAGAGCGTGAATGTCCGTGGCAGGCAGCATATGGCCTTGAGAAGTATTGAGGACCAAAAAGCTGTCTTTGAGCTGCATCCAGGTGCACTCCAGGCCTTGCTTGCCGGAAGGCGGGTGTTCCTTACTCATGGCTTGGGGATTTATAGCTCACCTTGGCCTGTTGATCGAGACTCCTGGGTCTGCAGACAGCTTTGTGCACAGGGTCTTTCCCTGCACGGGGACGCTCTGGAGGTGAAGGAAATGACAGGGAACGCGCTGAGCGTGGCCCCCGTCGTCTGTGCTGGTGAGCGGCCAGGTCAACGTGTCTCCATC